CGTCAAAACAAAGTGATCAAAGTTAACTAGGCAAAGGGGCGGCTTCCCCCCCGTGCTGAAATACCAACCCGAAAAATTGCCAATCTGAGGGACACGCCATTCCCAGATGACTGGGAAAGGGGATGTGTCCCCATATCCCACACCAGGAAAGGAGGTGTATTCCCATATACCATACCAGGAAAGGGGATGCACCCCCATATCTCAAATCAGGAAGGCAGATGTAGCCCTATATCCCATTCACAGGAAAGGGATGCATTTCCATATGCAAAATGGGAAAGGGGATGGATACATCCCCATATCCCACACGAGGAAAGAGGATGCATCCCCATATCCCAAACCTGGAAACAGGATTCATCCCATTTTCCCATGCATGGAAAGAGGATAGATACATCCCCATACCAGGAAAGGGAATGCATCCCCATATCCCAAACCTGAAAAGGGGACGCATCTCCATAGCTCAAAATGGGAAAGGAGATAGATATATCCCCATATTCCATAGCAGGAAAGGGGATGCATCCCCCTATCCCAAACCTGAAAAGGGGATGCATCTCCATATCCCAAACGTACCGTCCTGGAAAGTCAGGATTCTAACACCCCGAGGGCCATGCCAGCCCCATCCCCCCGAGGGCCAGCCCAGCCCCATCACAGCCTCTCTCCCTCCCTCCTTCCCTCCGTCAGGAACACTGATCCCGCTAGTTATTTTTAGCATCCCTTTCCCGAGAGGCCAGAGCAGCTGGTTTCTCCCTCCAGCCGTGGATCCCCTGGGCCGAAACGCGTCCCCAGCGGGACCGGGTGCCCACATGCAGAAGAAGATGGGCGAGGCGGTGGCCCGGGTGGCCAGGAAGGTGAACGACACAGTGGAGAACAAAACGGATTCCCTGGGTAAGCCCAACACTCCAATTCAACTCCCAGAGAAAGATCAGGTATCCGGGAGCAGGGCTTTTTTTTTTCCCCCGGTAAGCCCAACACTCCAATTCAACTCCCAGAGAAAGATCAGGTATCCGGGAGCAGGGCTATTTTTTTTTTTCCCCTCCAGCCATGGTCTAAAAAAAGCTGCCAGCAGTCCTCTCCCGGTGCTTTGCACTCCCAGGGAAGGGAAAATTTTCCCCAGAGGGCTCTCAGCACCCCGCAAAGTTTGAGTGGGCTCCCAGCAGTGGCACATAATCCCATGGGACAAGCCTCAGGGATAAAATTTTCCCTTGCATGCGATGGCAGGAGCCAGACTTCTCCCTGCATCACCTTGTCAGATGTGTGTTTTTCGGCAATTTCCCTGTTTCCAGCTAATATCAGAGACCTGTGTGCAGTTCATCAAAAGAAAGAGATGAAAGCTGCGCATTTTTATTCATGCTGGATTCCTGGCCCCAGGGCATATACTAGCGTACGTTGAGAATCACCTCTCAAAGTCCTCCTAAGCGAGACAATAATCTGCGGAAGGACTGAGCTTGTGCAACCCCCTGTTGTGGTTTTGGGGAGGGAGGCAAGCAGCACAGCCCATGGGCATCATGGGGCTGGGATGCAGGATTTCCATCCCTTGGCATATCACAGGAGGGGAAACCAAGACAATTCAGACTAAACCAAAAATGCCAATAGGCCAAAAAAGCAGCCAAAGCCTTTTCCCCTCACTCCTTGCTGCTTGCCATGGGGGCAAGCACCCATCACTATGAGAAATCCAGGCAGCGGCACGACCAGGGAAAGCTCAGCTCCATCCCAGTCAGGAGGGACATTACATCATCCATGGGTGGTAGCACCCAGCCAGGTAAACTGAGCATTAAGGGATGGAAAAGGAGATGGGAAATGTCGCTCCATCCCAGCTCAGCTGCATTAAAAGGCACCTGGGTCTCTCTGGGAGCAGATCTGGCCAACTGCAAGCTGATGACCTTCCCCGTTGGCATCTACAAAGCCATGAGGAGCGTCACCGAGGGGATCCACAGCATCTCCCTGGCAAACAACGAGCTGAAGTCCCTCACCGGCCGATTTGTCACCACTTTCAGCCAGCTGAGAGGTAAGGGACAGCCCCACTGCTTCCCAACAGCCACTTCCAAACCCCCAAGACTCCACAAAGATCCCCCTCCACAGGTTGCTGCAGAGGGGCCACAACACTGGAAAGTTTACCTGCTGCAAGTTTTTCTCCTCTGTGCTCACATCACATTCTAAGCACTAAGTTCAGACCTCCCCAGAAATCCATTTTTCTCCACCCTTTCTGGCCCTTGCAGGATGAAGATGTTGGCTTTGCTCTCACCCACCCTAGGCTGCTGCAGGGTCACTCATCACGGAATTGTAGAATTGTGTAGGTTACAAAAAACCTTCAAGATCGAGCCCGACCGCTAACCCAGGCCTCATCCAAGACGGGGCTAGGGATGAAAGAGGAAAGGGGAAAGGCAGCCCGGGGATAGTGGTGCCTAGCAGAGATGGGGCATTGGAGGCTGCAGAAGGCACACTGGCTAATTCCCATCGTGAGATATCAGTGAGAGCTGCTAGATCTCCACTCGCTGCAGGAGATGGGGACAGTCACCGGCGCATGGCCGGTGCCTTGGGGACACATCCCTGGGGAGCCTGGTGAAAGCAGCCAGGAGCTAATCTGCTAAAACGTGGTTGCCCGAGCATCCAGAGCCGTGGTTTTGGAGGCTGGAGTCTGCACCAGGGCTTTGCCTGCCCCTGCAGCAGCATCCAGAGCTCCAAGAGCTTTTAAAAAAACCAAATATTTTGCTCATATAACGTACTACAACACATGTGCTGCCATGGTGGGTGTCTGGGGAGGCTTCCTGAGTTGTAGTGGAGCATCATCCATGATAACTCCTCTAGGCTGGAGATAAGAAAAGCATCGAGCAAAGGAAATCAATTTTCATTTGTCAGATAGCACAGGGGAAAAAAAAAAAAACATTAAAAAAGAAAAAAAAAAAAAAGGAGAGACAGAGATCTTGCTTCCCAGCAAGGGCTTTGGTTCATCAATGAACAAATCACTTCAGTGATGAACATGCCAGGGCTCAGCAGGGCTATTGCAGGGGACAGGTGTCTCAGGGCTGGGGACAGTCTTACACCAGCTTGAATAAGGCAGGACCTATAAATACCAGGTATTAGCAGGGGCAGGGCAGCCTGCCTGAGTATTTATAGAGCAGAAAGCCCTGTGTCACTGTAGACGGGCGCTTGGACAGCGGGACTGGGGTTCCTGTTTCCATATGCAGGAACTCATTTCGGAGCGGGGAGGGCAAAGCCTCAGAGAGGGTTAAAGTCTGTAGAAAAGATATTTTTCACATATAAATGCATTTCTCCCAGCACTCTGTTTATACCTCAAGAAGGGATTCAGGCATGGAAAGGCAGAAAACTAGCCTCAAGCCATGAAAAACACCTACTGAGGGGGGAATTGCACTAAGGAATATTGCTTATTTCTACAGCCCCTGCTTGCGAAACGCCGTGCAGGTTTCATTAGCAAAGGCTGAGAAAGCCAAGAAACATATCGCTCCTAAAAGCGCTATTGACAGCAGGCAAAAAAGTATGACGGCAAAGCACAGAGATGACAAAAATTTCCCATTTTTGGGCTTGGAAACCCATTGCTGGATCTGGCAGCCCATAGGAGACGGAGGCTGCAAACTACGCTACACTAATTATTTTCCCATCTTTTCTCCGCTCCTGCTCCATCCCCCCACCTCCTCCAAACCACAGAGCTCAACCTGGCAGGTAACTACCTGCACCGCCTGCCCGAGGAGGTCACCTCCCTCCTCCACCTCCGGGCCATCAACCTCTCCCGCAATCGATTTCGGCGCTTCCCCGAGCCCCTGGCCGCTGTCACCACCCTGGAGACCATCGACCTGGAAGAGAACGAGATCGTGGGTGAGAAGGACCTTTGTTCCTCTCCGTGGGAAGCAAGGATGAGCATCTCCCCGGGGTGATGCCAATCCAAATCCCCGGGGCAGGGAGGGATGCTGGCTTGAAGCTCTTGCCCTTGGTCCAGCATCTCCCGTGGATGCAGCCGAGCTGAGGGGTGGCTTCGTAATCCAGCCAAAGGAGGGTGAATTTGGCAGTGGAAAGGTCACGCGGGCACGGGGCAGATGCTAAATAGAGCCTTGTTAGCCGCTTGCTTGTGCTGCCTCCCGGGATAGAGCTAATGCAGGTGTAGGGGAAATCAAGCTCCATTCAAGCTGCACTATTCACCGCTCTGGGATACAGCTCTCGAAGGCGGCTCCAGCTGTAACTCAAAATCACCAGATTTAATGATTAAAAAAAAAAGAGAGAGACCCAACAGCAGAATCGAGCTCCAAGGATGTTGGGCTGTGATGTTTGCTGCTGGGCAAAGTAAAGGCACAAGTCCACCTAAGCATTTCCCAGAGCAAATAGGAACTGTAAGAGTACAAAATAGCCTTAAAAATTTTTTTTTAAAAAATTAAGGAATTAAGAGCAGCTCATCCCTCAGCCCTGCAGTGGGAGGAATATCTTTCATGCACAGAGCTGAAGCCTCTGGAGTCCCCGAAAGCTGAGCAAAAGGGGCAGCTGTTGCACATAGATAAAAATGGATTTATTCAGGAGCAAGCTTTCAAAGAGCCCCCACTGGAGCACCTCACAGCCCACACAGATCCCCAGGGAGGCAAATATCAAGTCCACTTAATTTTTCTGTTTTATGCAGGATGGCTTCAGCCGCTGCTGGCAAAGCTGCTCCCTGCAACATGAGTTTTATTAACAGCGTCAGCTGCTCCTTGGCCATGCCCGTAGAAACACAAAACATCCAACACTGCTTCCACCAGAGCCACTGAAAGACGCAGTTTTTCCTTTTTTTCTCTCTCCACCTCCCAGAGAGAGCTGTCTCCCTCCTAGTTCCCCTCCATCACCTCTTTTTTTTTTTTTTTTAAACTTAATTGGCTGACTTAGATCAAATCTAGTCTCCAAACAGCGTATTTCCCACTGGTTTTGTGCGAGCAGGCTCCTACAAGAAGGGAATACAGCTTCTTATTTTTCCCCCTCTCCACCCTGCTTAAATGCAAGGAGGAAAAGCTGCATCGAGGGTTATACCCAGCTGGATTACTCCTCGGGGAGAAAGAAGCTGGAAAACCCAGCTACTAGGCTTGGTCACCTCCCACCAGGCTCCCCTTGGCTGCTGTTTTCTGACTCAGGAGAAAAACAACAACAGGGTGGAAATTAACAATTTCAAGCTGAAGTGTTTTTAGGGACACGTCTTCAGAATGATTACAATGCTGCCAAAATAGGCAAGATTAGCTTATTTTCTGTATTTTTCTGGGAAGAGAAGAAGTAGAGGTTGGAAAGCCAGGGGTGTTGCAACACATTTTTCAAGGAAATAAAAGCCTCAACAACCACATTGCTCCTGCCAGCCCTTCCCAAATACCTCCCCGGGCTCATCTGCACGTGAATTTCCATTTTTAGTATGTATATATGCATTTTTTATATGCTAACATAGTTTTATATATTACCTATGAGCTCATATTTATGCATATACTTTTTCCTCCTGTGCTAGCCCAGCACAACGAGAGTCCATCAACTCAGAATTAAGCAGCACAAATTTTATTTTCCTTAACATCTGAGCAGCTTTTGAACCCTTCACGCTCATTTCACCCCAGGAGATCCTAGTGAAGGCTGTAGGAGATGGTGTCTTCTCTTTTCATCTCTGTGTGCATGTACAACTCACCTGCTATAGGTGGCTGAGGACCTTGTTTTAGCAGCAGGGTCTCACGAGGAGCAACTGGTGTGTCCTTAGTGACGCTCTTAAGGCATCTAAAAGTCTTGGTGATGTTCCCCAGCAGCAACATCAACACATCATAAGCCAGCCTAATACAGGAAGGGATTACCCCATTAGGGCAAAACCTACCTTTTATAATTTGGGATCCAGGTTTCCTCACTTAGCCAAATAACGAGATGAGGACCCTGCTGTGGGTAAAAGACCAGGAGTCAGGAGAAGAGCATTCTTTAGGTTGAAGAGGGAGTTTAGAGGATTGCTGCTTTCCCCAGTAGTGCAAAGTTTGCAGGTAGACTGGTTTGTGGTACAACTCTATACCATTCCTGGTCCTGTCTGTCCTCTCAGTGATGCTGGAGGAGCTGTAAACCAGATTTAAAAAGCACCTGCTGAAAGAGGGCTGAATCAGCCATGAAGACATTGAGCTGGAGATGGTAGGTGATGTTTTCCAGCTAAAGGAAAATAAAAGGCGATTTATTAATGCCTGTCTAGAGTCTGTAGGCTCTGTCAAAGGAGACAGTTGGTGCCATGATCTGCCCTTTTCATCTCAACGAGCTCTTAATCCCGGAGTGTAATTATGTGTATGTGAAGATCAGTGTTTTTAACTCTTTTCCTGCTAATTAGAGTCACAGTAAAAACTATCATTTTCAGCTCCCAAGTCCCTGGGGATTTTTTTTTTTGGTGCCTGAAGCTTCAGTTTCTCTTTACCTTATTCCTTGATTAACAGTTTAATGCTGAAGATGTTGAGACAGCAAGGGGGAGGCTGGAGCCCACTACCGAGGCTGGCCAGGTTGTTGCTGGAGGCAACCGTGGCTAATTTCATCCTCCCAAGCACCAAAGAGAAGCACTCTTAATTTGGGATAATGGCATAGAAAAATGCATCTTTATTAAGAGCTGCAGAGGAGCCAGCAGGCTGGTTTCCATCAGCATGCTGGGAGGAGGCTGGCAGAAGCTGGTGGCCACCTAAGGATGCTGGTAATGACCAAAGATGGCTGGGAAGTGGCTCTGCATATTATTCCCCTTTTTTTGCTTAACTGGTGATGCCAAATGAATAAGTCAGGCTCATACGTGTGTGCCTTATCATTTGAGGAGCCATCAAAGGATGATTTGGGTTGCTGGTAGAGGAGTTTGTGGCTCCCATGGCACAGCTGGTAGCTATAGGGTACACTGCACGCCCTGCTTCTCACTTCATGCCGAGGGTGGAAGAAAGCCATCAGGGTGTTTAAGTCTTTTTCCAGCAAAAATTAAGTTTCATCGTTTAAAAATCACATAATCACCTGCCCAGCTATAACTACAACACTGTAATTCTGCCCAGAGTATTAGCAGAAGAAAGAGGAGCTGGGGATGTAAATGGCTTTTGGTGGCCAAATTAAAAAGAAACTGTTCTTGGTAAAGTTGGGCAGGTGGTCTTTTCAAGCCCAAAATACTGTGGTTTGTACCATAAAAGCTAAAATCTATTGTATTTTACTGATCTTAATGGTTAGGCTTTCTTATCGGTCTCGTTCCTCCTCGTTCTTCTGCTCTCAGTGGATTTGCACTGAGACCATCCAGAGACCTGCAGGTTAAGCTTTCTTTTTTTTTTTTTCCCCCCTCTCACATAAAAAGGGTTTCCTTTCTGAAGGAAAACCTCTGAATTCATGGAAATTGCAAAATAGGAGGGTGCCGGGTGATGGCCAAGAGCCATTTCGCAGCCTCTCCAAGCAGGGCAAAGAGCACATGCTCTGCCCTTAGCCTGCCAAGGGGTCCTGGGCATTGCCACACTGGGAATAAAATATGAGAATTAGTCTTCAAATACCAGTATGGCCCTACAGCAGGGTTGTTTTTTCAGGGAAAACTGGTAGGAGATATCCAAGTTGCCGAGGTATTTGCTTGCATAGTCATGTAATCTAAGATTTTATTATGTTTCTGGTCTGATAAAAGCCTGGAGACTGGTGGGAGTGTCGGTTTGCTCCAGGCTGCCCATCGAGCCATGGCTTTTGACCCCCTCTGCCACCCCAAATTCCTCAGCAGCTGACACCGGGATGGACACTCACCCTTCGGTGCTCTCTTTTTGCAGAGGTGCCGGCGGAGAAGCTGGCCTCCATGGCATCGCTGCGGAGCCTCAACCTGCGAGACAACCCCGTCGGCCCCGATGTGAGGCTGCTCATCCGGCCCCTCGTCCCCTTTGACCTGCTCCTGTCACCGGAGGAGCCCGTCCCCAAAGCCTGAGAGGGTCTCGGGGTGCCTGGGCGAGCTCTCCTGAGGGAAGACCGCCCATGAGAGTGGTTTGGCTTAGGTCAGTCCTTGCTACACTGCAATTTTTGTCCCAAACCTGCGGCGTAGCAGCCAGTCCCTCTTTTTTTGTTTGGTTGTTTTTTAAATCTTAATAAAAGACAAGCAGCGGGGCTTCTCCATGAAGGGGATGGCTCTGAGAGCTTTTGCCAAGTGCTTGGGGAGGAAGTAGAGTCAGGATGCATGCGGTGCGAGGTTTGGGTAAAACTGAGGGAGCTGGATCCATCTATCCCTGCTTGGCTGCATCCATTCAGCCTGGCCGGCGATGGGGAGCCTCTGCTGCCCTGATCCAGGGCTGGGACAGTGGGAGACATCCTTGTGGCTTCTAAGGGTTGCCCCTTGCATTGCTGGTATGGCAACGTGCCATCTGCCTAATTAAATGTTTTCCTGTTACATGTGGGCTGGTTTGTTTAGTTTGGTTTTGTTGGTGGTTTTTTTTTTTTTTCATTTGGTCAATTTATAAGTTATTGGTTGTCTTCTCCTTAAAGAAGCCTCCTTGCAGATCTCCATGGCTGCTCACTGCAGCTTGGGCTGATGCCTCTGGCCAGATTTTGCCCAGACCTGAACACAAATTTCTCTGCGTTTTCCCAGGGAAATTTTTCTTACAAGTACTTTTTTTTTCCCCCTACCATGGAAATCAAAGCAACCCAGTGCCAGCAGGTTCACACATGCTGCTTGTCCCACGGGTGTCTCCAGGAGCATGCACCTACCTCCTGGGTACCGTAGGTCTTCAAAAATGTGCTGCTTTCTTTCCAAGGAAGAAATGGGCTGGAGGGGGAATCAGGATAAGACCCAGGGAGGGTGGCTTCTTGGTGGTAGGGAAGTCACTGTAGGAATGTTGGTGGCTGCCTGGAAAAAAAAAAACAAAACACAAAACAAACAAAAGAAAACCTTCCGGGAGAAACCACAGGCGTTATCTCAAAATGCCTTTTTTAAACAACTCCCATGTTTGCTCCTTTGTGTTTTTTAAGGGACAAGTGCTTCCCAGCGCTGGCGCCTGCCAGGAGTGGAAATACGTGACTTCTAGACTTTTGCCCCAAACCCAACTTTGATAAAACTCACTGTGGTGAGGGGAGGTTTGTTGGTGATGATGGAGGAGTGGAGCAGCTTTGGACGAAGACCAGCAACCCTAAGGACCACCCTGCTTTTCCCCAGGCATGTTGGGGCTCCCGGCAGGTTTGCCTGCCCCCGGGGCAGGCAGGAGCGCCGCCGGGGATCCAGAGCGCCACCATTACTGCAAGGGGTTGGCAGGGGCGGGGTCACAGCCCCCCACCCTCCCCGAGGTGCAAACCTGCTCCAGCTTTTTCCTTGTTTCCCGT